GATATGCGCAGCCCGCTATGACATATTGTCTTCCCACTACGCATTGCGCATCACGACCTGTACCACCTCCCGCAATGGCGTAAACATAGACTGGTATGCTGCAGTTCGCTGCATGTATATCGAGCTTGTGACAAGGGCTTGGAAACATTCTAGGCCTATTTTCACATTTGACATGGATTCTTCTGCTCACTCAAGATAGATGAAATAGTTCTATAATTTGTATTTTCATTTTCACAATAAGTGCACGAAAATTAACGAACTACAGCTTGTGATCTTCTATTTACATACCATATCAGATAAACACAAAAGTTTGCTTCGAACTGTTATAGTTGATAACTTAACCACTGTTCGAGCGATCCACATAACCTATAGAATTTGTATTGAGCAGTCATCGCCGTCTCGTTGTAAGTAGTCCGCTTCGTGGATGGGTATCGTTTCACTCACAAAAAGGCGCGAATGTCCAGAGGAGAGACCAGATACTAGAGAGGCGATGCGCAAAGGAGACGTTGATCTTGTCCGCTGAGCGCGGATGTTGCGCGCAGTTCCGCGGCAAGGCGCACGCGACCGCGGGAACGTCCTAGGAAAGTATCAGGTGCCGGCAGCTATGGATACGTGCGCGAAATCCATAGGCCGGCGCACAGATGCATAGCTGCCAGCAAACAGTCTCGAATTTTTTTGGGGGGTTTTATTTCCCCCCAACTATCCCTGGATTTCCCAAATCCAACCAACCAAACCAACAAGGAAAAGAGGGGAGTCTGATTTCAGTATACCCCCTGACCTAAGAGGGGGGGGTTGGAAGTAGACATGTAGCATGAAAGGGTTATGAAGACAGTTGCTGCTGCTATATCGTAATGAGTGTGTAACTTCTATGACTATAAAGTGAATTTCATTCTTTACCCGTGGCAATCGACAGTTCCAATCGTGGCGAGGTTGTCGACAGTGGTAGCAGAATTTGGGACAAAGGCGTGCATTGTGGTGCCTCTCCCCACACAAGCTGCACGTGCAGGTTTTCTTGTGTTTCCCCATTGGCACCAACGTTTGTCGTGGACATAAAAACTACAGATGGGAAAAGAGAAAAGAAACGGAACTATACATTGATCCAAAGTCCACTGGCATTGTTAGAGATTATGTACACAGTAGTACAAAAAGGACGTTGAATAAACATGTATGTAACATGTACGTGTAACCGTCGTGATGGAAAAGTTGTGCTCGGAAAAAGATTTAGACATGAGATGTCAATAAGCAAAAGAAGTAGAACGACTGCGATTAGTAAATATTGCAGTGTTTTTCTCACATCTAATGCCAAGAGAGATATACGCAGCTAGGTTTGTCGTGACATAAGTGAATACGTGACGTTTACCTTGCATACACGTGAATCTTAGAGACTTCATCAGAACACAGTCGTCACATGATCCATCATCGTAGAATGGTTCCAAAATCGACCTTTCGGCTGAAATCCAATTCACAGATATGTCAGTGATCTGTGTGTCGGAGTGCGTGTCTCTGTGTGTGCGTGCGTGCGTGCAGGTGTACACGTGTTGGTGGTGGTGGTAAGTGTGTGTGTGTGTTTGTGTGTGTGTGTGCGTGTGTATGTGTGTGTCAGCGCATGCGTCAGCATGTGTGTGTGTGCGAGTGCGTGTAAGCGCGTGTGCACGTGTTTAGCTGAGAGTGTCTGTGTGTGCGTGTGCGTGCATGCATGTGTGTGCGTGCGTGCATAGAAATTGTGATGTGTATTTCAAGTAATAGATTATGGGACGAGTTTTAACTGAGCGCTGACTTGACTATGGTTTCCCAGCAATGTGACAGTATAAAGACGACACTGGAATATATAGGTCGTTGCGTTTGATGAAGCAATGCAAAAGATACCGACCAGTAAAGAACGACTGAACGCTGTTCTTTCCGCTGCAACGCTGGACGGTGAAACACAAATCCTGGTAGTGAGACATTTAGTCCAGTGGTTAGGCCACGTATACTGTCCACTGAAGGCTGTGAGTTCACACCCCGGCCGGGGGCAGTGAATTTTCTCAAGGTGTAAAAACTTGGCTCTCAACATTGGAGACTGTGAATCTCCCATGGCTCGGATGACCACGTAAAATGGCGGTCCCGTCTCCAGTAATACTAAGGCCAATGGAGACGGAGAAGAACCACTGAGGGCGCAAAAAAACTCTGGCTGTGACCACCCTCAGTGCCATTCGGCTACAAGGTCACACCCCATGGCTAGCTATAGCCCTGGACGTTTATTCCTTACGGACTGTCCAGTATAGAAGTAGAAGTAGAAGTAGAAGTAGAAGTAGAAAGTTTTACCATAATCCATACATGACTATGTTTCAAACCTGTCGTACATCGTAACAAGAAATTATTACAAGACTGTATTATACTATTGTAACTGCCAGTTATGATATTGTAATGCCTACCCTGATCATTGTACAATTGCAAATTAAATATATGGGAATTGAATCACCACCGATTTGAGCATAGGTCCCATCATAGGGCTCCAGTGCGTAACTACGAAGTCGCTTATTAACATGCGAACAAAATCACCCGATTATTGGACGACGGCGATAATTGACATCATTCTGACACAGTAGACTAGTTCTATGAATATGAAGGAATGCAATAATAACACTAATCATTTCACCTCTAAAGTACAAACGGGAACTGAATGAAGTTATTTAGCGCTAAAACTCACGACGTGATTTCCAAAATGTCCGTCTGCAGACACCTCTGCCCCGGTCATCTGCGCATGCGCGAGCATTTCCGTGCACTGCTGCCCTCTACCGTCCCTTGAAGAAACCCCCCACGATAAATTCTTGTAGACCCCCAATCCACAATAAGCCAGACAAGAAGCACTTGGCGCAGAGCGCAGCTACATGCTAGGAATGCGTCGAGTCAGGTTGGTCGGCTGCCCCCGTGTGCAGGAGAAGTCATGGTGTGTATCAGTGAAAA